GATAGAAAAACACATGAAGTAGTATTGGTTCATAATGTAACTGAACAACAAAGTAGACTGGGCTTATTACTGGGCTTATTGCTGAACAAAAGCCGAGGTACAATCAGTATGTTTTAATTTCTATCCTCCATTCACCAAAACACCAAACACAAATATACGGGAAACACAGTTTTATCACAAGGGTTGAAAGACAACATTTGCAAACAGTGCAAACAAGAGATATTATGAAATCTTAATAATCTTGATTTAGGATACAGTGATTACCAATTACAAAATTTCTCAATATTATTTTTTTTATTTAAACTGAATATTGTGCACATATTCAACATACTTATATCTCGTACAATCTGAGCATTCAGGTGCAGAATAACACTTTAGGAAACAAACAGATGAAAAATTAGAAATTCTGTGTAAATCATTTATCAATTGGAATGCAGACAAAAAATATATACTGTTTGATTTTACAGACAGTATTAGCAAATAAAAACAAGTCTGAGCTACAGATACATAACAAAATAATAATAACTTCAGTGTGAAAAAACCTTAAGTCTTTCACTCTTAAGCTAAAATTTCTAAATAGAGAATATGATATCGCTTAAGAGAGTAAAAAAACAAAGAAATATTTATCAAACAATCGCCTGAAATGTGTGTTGTTTACCGTAACAAAACAACAGAAACTAAGAACAAGATATATATAATATATACCCATGGTATTAACGACCCAATTACACATTTACCCATGAAAATATAAAATATTATAATTCAACAACAAAATTCTAGTATTTGTGAATCTAACAACGAATATAACAATATACATCTGTACACATAACAGTGCTGTGAAGATACACAAACCAGCCAATCACAAACAGTCTTGCACTTTCAAATTTCAAAGTTACTATTATCCAAATATGGAAAATTCTTGCACTTTTAGAACATCATATATATTTCTCCTGCACTTTTATTTCTGAACAGCTTACGCAATTCTTTCAACAGTTAATGCTTTTCTCTCTTAATCAAATCATTAATCATCAGCAGCAGATGAAACATCCAATCAAAAGCATCCATTGACTTAAAACTATTTCATATTGAAAGCCAATCAAAAAACACCTCTCTTTTCATCAACCAATCAAAAATTAATCTTACTTTATATATGCTTTCCTTCAATTAAGAAGCTTACTAAAATATGATCTGTTCCTTCTTAAAACATATCTTCCTTTACAATTTCTTCTCAACAAATCAATAATATTTTGCATGATTTTTTTCAATGAAGAAGGCATTTTAACCAATAACCAGTACACTAAATGATATTCTGATAAAAATGATGTTAAATCATGTATGTAAAAATGTTTTGATTAGTGTAAAATAAAATGTTAAATTTTCAAAAGAAAAAAAAAATTAGTGATTTAAAGACTTTCACATGCAGTACTGAAAAACTTTCTAACATTTCTTTTCAAGTTACTTTAATTTGCTGTTGAACGTTGAAAGTGATCAAGTCACTCTCTATATATAGACATCACCTACAAACCATAGAACCAAAATCAATATAACAAAACAATGGAGTATACAGGGAATGGGTACAACAATAGCATCTCTGTTCCTCCGTAAGATACCATATGTAGAAATATCAAGATAAGACTCTCTCTTTTGAATAATACTGTAGACTGATTTTAAGACAAGTCCAATGGAATGGAATTGAAACATTTTAAGATTAGCCCAACAAGACCACCTTTATTCTGCTAGATAAAGCTACACATTTATATGATGAAAGTACCTCGCTGTGGCCGTGAACTTTCTGTTTCATCAACTTTGAGGCAATTAACAGGTGAAAATTTGATTGTAAGTCAATTCAATCCAACCACAAACACCCACATGGAGAGAGAAAAGAAATTTATCCAGACACTGTTTGGATTTCGTCTAGTATTTCAGTAATAACACTATGTAAGGAAAAATAACCAATACAACATCAGACTCCAAGATATTGAGGGCACGTGTGTTATAGGAAAACAAATGCCATTTGTTGGTAGTTCTACCGTTTGAATTGCAAGTGGCATCAGCTAAACAAAACTGATAAACCAGATCATTCCAAGGTCAGATGTCTCTTTCACAGGGACCTGGCACAATTCTCAAAGCTCTGATCGATAAAGTATATCACACAGGGGCCAGGCACAATTCTCAACCCCTGGTCTGAGTATGTATTATATACAAAATACCAAGTTAGAAAACTTTACAAAGTCCCTCTGCCACATTAAAACTATTCCATCAAGATTTAACCATTTCATCATTTAACAAAATAATTCATACTTCATCACAGCAGATTAATTATAACAGTTATTCATTAATAAATCCATCACAGGTAACAGTATAGTAATCTGGTGAAACATAATAGGACATTTCCATGTGTCTGAATATATCTCTTTGCAGTATATTTTGCCATCCAATCTCAATAACAACAGTTCACATGACCAGTCAAGTCCAAACAACATCATATCTCCACAATATTCCATTACTCAGGTCCATCAATTCTGCATTACATAAAAACAAATTGGTTACACAGAGCTCTATGGCCACCACTTTCTCAACTCCTTTTTAACATTAGAAACTTAATAAAATGCTTAACTCCTCTCCTTGCATATGACGCTAAAATGGGACTCCTTCTGGTGTGCTGCAATTCCAATTTTCCATTTGTGGGAAACAGGCTCAGTGGCCCCCTTTTTTGGCTTTTTGGCAAGGGTGAAATTAGGTTTTCTTTCCTGCTCTTCATTAAAAGTTTTCACAGTTTGAGAAAAATATTTCTCTAGTAGAAACTTATGAACACATCAAAACTGGTTTTAAAATGGAATGCAGAATTGAATCTATACAACTGAATTCTTCTCGGTTTAAATCCACCACCTTTTAACAATCAACAGTCTGGGTGTAAGTATTGGAGTGTATTAGTACAAAAATGAATCACTTTTCATACAGCATTGAAATTATTCCAAATCACAATAAAAAATATTCATCAAACTTGTAAAAGTAATTTTTTTTCTTTCCTAATTCATTCAAGATATTCATGAAGAAATATTAAAAATTTTTAAAAATTTAAAAAGACTTCAATTTTAGCATTATTTCATGCAAATAAAACATAATAATTACTACTTTTCTTAATATTTGTAAAAAAAAACAAATATATATATATGAAATAGATTTTGCTTTTTTTGCTTTCATTTCTCTGTTATTTCATATAATTTGTGTGTGAAAAGAAAAAGAAAGAATTTTTTTTATTGTTAAGAAAAATAAAACAAACCTCATTTATGATCCATGTTTAGTACACTCTTTCACAAACAATCTATTTATAGTAACATTCCTTACTAATGTAACAATGTATCACCATATCAACACATACATGATTCCATAGCAACCACGTGGTCCTTAGCAAAACAACATTTGATTATCGTCAACTGTTTCGTTGAAATGTATCCATAAAATGAAACATGAATCAAAAGAAAAATTTTCATTTGACAAAAAAATAAATTAAAACATAAAATAATTCAATGACATTAATAAATTACCAACTTTAATTTCTCAAGAAGAAATGTTTTACTCCTAGAAATAAATGATTTATAAAATATAAATAATGGAATGCAAAACGAAATACCGGACTATATAAACAAAAACAATCTCAGTAATCAAAAACTCCTTAACAATAAATTTATTCTACTACGGAATGAAATGAAGAACGGTCACCACGACAACAAAATGGTTTCTTTATAATCCTGATATATTTATCAGACAAATTTCTTGATCATATATATATATATCCTACAAAGGTCTTGCATTCTCACTAGATCCACATGTACATTGTGTCAGTACCCAGTACCTTCAAACTATATCATTATTTAACACAATATTTTCCCTTGGCAGTTTTAATATTAGTAAGCAATTATAAATTATGCCACTACTTTTAATATGATCTTGTTAAGAAAAAACAATACTGTGTTATCATTATTTACAAATATGATGAAATAATTTTTAAAGACTTACAAGTTTGTAATGTCAAATTCAATGTCCCATAGAGATTGCCAATATTGGTTCAAAACATGTACAAAAAAATATGGATCCAAAAAAGATGTACCATGTCCTATTTGATAAGTGGAGAAGTTCAATAATTTTCTTATCTCTAAAATTGATCAGTATAAACATACACTAGGATTTATCTTTCACCATATATTAACATTTGATGATGAATCTGCCTAGTTACAAAAAGTGCTAACAATCATACAGGAAGGTTCATGGGTTATACACATAAATATAGTTATTTACTCAAATTCACACACTTGCATCCACATGCAACTTTTAACGTGTTTAAATAACAATAGAACTATTCTTTTTCCAAAGTAAAAATGTGTTGTCATGACAACACTGTGGTGTACATATCTACACTAATCTTGAGTATTTATATATTTAGAGAATTTCTGTGATGTGTGATTATGTCATACACTTCTCAAATTTATCTTTTGAAATTAAAATGGGAAAATTCTTTATTATTTTTTTTCAATAACAATTAAAAAATTCCTGTTTAGATATTCATTTCACATCTGAGATGTTCCGGAGTATTGAAATACCATCAACCAAATGTCTGTTTATCTTTCAAATTAAACAAATAAATAACATTCTTGTTTACAGATACATGAAAATTAAATGTAACCGTAGAATCTGGCAAGGCAACTTCTGACCAGTCCTCAACATCGGTAGCAACAAGTCACTAAGTTAGTAATCCAATAACTTACTAAAATACAATATTTCCATAACAGTGTTACCACAAATACGAGTTAAAGATACAAAATAATAATAAAAAACAATATCCAAATAACAATATCTCCCTGTGTAACATCAAAGTAACAACTATCCCTTACATAGCTAAGTCTTCTGTTTGCATTGTACAGAAAATCTCTTACAATTTCATGAAATGTCTCCTCTTGGACCATGTGACTAGTCAAAGACTCTTTCCCCAATATCACTGACTAGCCTAGGATCTCAGTCTTAATGGTGAGAGGCAAGCTTCTGTTGATTGCATCAGGACTATTTATAGAATCCATCATTTCGGTCTTGATAGTTGTAGGCAAGCTGCTATTAATAGCATCTGAACTGTTCATAGAGGCCCCTGAAGGGTTGAGCAAAGAGTCATTTAAACTGTTGTCAAGGCTGTCGTTGGCCTCGTCTCCCACGGTGAACCCCCAGTGAAGCTGCTTCATATGTTTATTGAGCTCATACTTGCGGACAAAGTCCTTCCCACAGAGGGAACAAATGTGCGGGCGATCTTGTGTGTGAATGCTCTGCACATGTCGTTTCAAGTGGTCTGAACGACTGAAGCGCTTATTGCATATTTTGCATTCGTGCGGTTTGATTCCTGTGTGTATTGACAAATGGCGCTTTAGGTGAATGTTTTTGGCGAAGGACACGCCGCAAGTGGGGCAGACAAAGGGTTTCTCACCAGTGTGAGTACGCAAGTGTACCTTCAGTACACAGAGGCTGGTGAAACACTTATCACAGTAAGTGCAATTGTACGGCTTGTCCCCATTATGTTTCCTCATGTGAGTCTGCAAGTTGGATTTTGTGGTGTAGGATTTCCCGCAAACCTTGCATTCAAACCCGGTGTGAGTCTCCAAGTGCTTGCCTAGCGTGTCTTTGTCATCGTAAGTTTTCCCACAAACTGGACAGATAAAGTTCAGTTGGGATCCTTCTTCATTTGAGTTAGTTGCAGTGATGGTCAATTGTTGTGGTTTGAGCAAGCTAGTAAAATTATTTTTCGGAGTGCTGTGTGCCGTCACACCAAACTCTGGTCCGTCCAACCCACGGGATCGCATATAATCATCAAACAGTGAACTTGAAGCTGTTGTAGACCCGGAATCAAAATATAAGGAATTTAGTGACTTGGCAAAGTCTGTGTTTTGCATATCCTCAGAAAAACTCGCAGAGTTGCTGACGGGCTTGGGACTGGTACTGGGCTTGATTGTATGATTATTCTGGCCGTCACTTTCATTCAGTCCTGTTGACTGATAACCAAACTTATGAGTTTTAACATGATTGTCCAGTTCATTTTTTGTGTCAAAGACCTCAGCACATTCAAAACACATATGGCCATCCTCTTCCATTTTCTCTGTAACTCGAGACTGATCGGTGTCTTTTGCTGGTGACCCTTCCAAGGGGCTATTGGTCCTAAGGTCATTGCCATGGTGATGAATCTGGGCACTTGGATTTACTTGATTTGAAGAATTCAAGGAGTCTTCTTCTTCCACTTCTATAATTCATAAGGTGTTTTACTCTTAATAAATATCTCTATAGATTTGATACAGAGTAACAGTAAAATTATGCAGCATACATAATTCAAAAGATTATGACTAAGAAAGTCTTGACCATGGGAAATGATTTGTGATCACACTGCACTAAACTATTGACATGGAGAAATATTATGTGATAAGTGATTTAATTTATGACTATGACAGCCATGTCCAAGGGAGATAATTCATCAAGATTAGTGATTACTACAGACTGGACAAAGGGAAATAATTGGTGTTTACTACAATCTGGACATCAGGAGATACTTTGTAATTGCTACAGTCAGGACTAAGGGATACAATATGCAATTAATTTACTGTGGACCAAGGGAGATAATCTATTATCACAAGTCTGGACCTATGGATAGGGAGGTTATTTTTGCTAACTACAGTATGAACTAAAGGAGAAAATATTGAAGATAGATTTATTGCTCCAACTATTAAAGACTGTTTTTAAGAAAATTATATCAAATGAATTGAAAATGAAAAATATTTTTCTAATGATGCCACATCAAGTAAAAATAAAATAAACTATCTTACCATCCATCAATAGTTCCATTGGAATGAAATTGAGAAGTTTTTCTTCGAGTTTTGGAAACTGTTTGATAATCTGTAAAATGAATGAGTTCAAGTTACATAAGATCTCTGAAAGATGAAACATCCATTACATTTTCTGATTAATCTCCTCCACGAAATTCTAAAATCAATGCTAAACTTGCTTTTTTTCACAGAGTTCCAGCTGTTACAGCCATTGGTATGCTGATAAGACAGATACTACTAAGGACACAAACTAGGGCAAAACATTTTAAAGATTTCCTAATTCCATAGTCTACTGGTATGTACATAGAATTGACAGGACACTGACTCAATCACAAAATAGTGTATCTTTCATAGATTGATAATAGATATACTTATGTTATAGGTAACCATCTTTACCTTGAGTCCATACACCTGGCGATCATCGATGCTGTGTATGATCCAACATTTGAATGCATGCAGCATGCGTTCATCTGTGAGTACGACCTCATTCATCCTTTTCATATGTGACAACAACTCATCCACACCGAGGTCAAGAAATGCCTCCTCCTCAATTACCTGTAAACGGAACAAAAAAAAAAAGATTTTTTTAATTGGATGCTTTATTCCATAAAATTTGAGAAAAGAATCCTTTTGGATGCTTTATTCCATAAAATTTCAGAAAAGAATCCTATTGGATGCTTTATTCCATAAAATTTCAGAAAAGAATCCTACTGGATAATTCATTCCATAAAATTTCAGAAAAGAATCCTTTTGGATGCTTTATATGTTAAAACGTAAATAAAGGATTCTATTGGATGTTATATATAGGAACACATCAGAAAGATATCCAACAGGACAGATATTTGTTATCAGTCTCTCATTGTGTTACCTTATCGAAATTCTCCTTGATGAACTTGGTGGTCTCCGAAAGTAGTCCTGAACAGAGACACCTGGTGGCAATTTTGTGTATCCTAAGACATGTTTCCACTTGAAGCTGGGCTGACAAAAAATCACAACATAAAATCTGGATTTCTTCTGCTTGTAGTAACGAGGCGGCCGGCAGCAAAGACCAGACGTTTTCCTCATTCACTGAAATAGCTGATGTATAAAAGAATTCGATGATTTGCTGGACTCCGCGGCTATCTATGCCGTTAAGATGAATTTCTGACACATTATTAGAAATTTGGGGTTGCAAGTTCATCAAACTGTTAAAATAGGGTGAGCTGACTGATAGGATAAGTTTGTGAGCAGGGATCTTCGTGTTGCTACAATTCAATATGATGTCACACAGTTCGCTTTTCTTCCTAAGTTGGTTGATGGAACCAATCAAATGATAGGCGTGGTTGACGGACGTGTAGTGTAGTGTGTTGTCCATGGTGACGTTTCCGTTGTTGTCACGCCTCACTGATTTTTTCCTCCCTAGTAATAATCCAAGGTAAACATACCAGTATGTCAATCTGAAATTAAAAACAGGATGACCTGACAATATGTAAATAACTTTAAAATGGCAATTACGCTGACAATATTAATTTAGGCTTCATTACACAAAGGTTGATAAATGAGTACGATTTTAATTAAAATGTCAGAATGAACATGCAAAATATATTTTCATCTGTCATTGTGGCATATCCGCATTCCTATAATATACAGGTTAGTCAGGTACAATTGTTACTAAAATGAATAGGTGCAAGGTAGAGTAAAAAACGTTACAAAGGCTATCCTTAAGATATTGTGTTTGGCATGAAGTGACTTATCTTTCGAGAACTTGAGTCGTAAGGTAGGGAAAATATTTCATTCTCAAGCAAAAAAAATATGTATGTGACAATGTGTGTGTGTTATTGTTTGACCCAGGTCTGAAACCATAACCATTTGTCTTGAGGTGGGATGAGTATAGGTAATAAGCATTTATATATATACATGATATTTGAATTAGAAAAAAAACATTAATATGCAATATTTGTAGAGTGTGGAGTGGGGAGAAGGGACCTAAAATTCTAGAAACAATTTCTGCAATTATGATAATACAAACAAGATAAATTTTGGAATCAGTTATTTTGGTTTGGGTTATATTTGTTTGGTAGGTGGGTCAATGCCAACAAGACAATATTGTAATATAAGTATGAAGATGTACCAGTACACTGTTAGGTACAATTGTTACTAATCATATATAGGTTTGTTATCAGAAACATTCTTACTTACACCATATCTATCCCTCAATCAGCCCACATCAGGTAATAGGCTTATCTTTATATATTACTTTTCATTACTAGCATTTTTTAATTTCTTGTTATGAAATATGACCATCCCCTGATTTGAATAAAGTTTGCTGAGCTTAATCGAGGACAAATATGAGATGTTGTAACAGGTGTGCTAATTATCAGAAATAAGCATATTTCTGTATTGCCTGGTGTTGATTTCACACCACTGTACCTTGTTTCGTTAAAAATAAATATTTCAAACAATGCTTTCAGACAAGTGTAGCAGTGTCCCATGCAAATATACACATAGCCATGACACCATAATTTATACTTTGTCCAAACATATGTTTCCTGCTTGTTATGTATGCACAAACACTTCTGACTTTATTCACACTGAATATCCCAACACATAGTACCACTATAACTGCAAAAGTGGCAGTTTAGACACCAAACTTCAAAATATCAACACATATATATGGATATAAAATATTCTAGATTTTCCTTCAGAATCTTATGTAGGTTGTCACTAAATCAGAGAAGAACAAGAGAGAAAAAACAATCAATAAAAACAAAGAAGGACCATTTTACCTTAAACTTAAAATATTAACAACTATTTAATTGAAATATGGCAGATTTTCATACAAGCTGGAAGATCATTTAATAAATCTTTCTTTATCTATTCAATAATATTTAGCTCCATACAAACAAATACTTGTTTTTACCAGAGAAATTTTATATTCAACTTGTTTTTTCATGAGAAATTTTATATTCAACTTGTTTTTTCAAGAGAAATTTTATATTCAAACTACTCAAAAAATATAGTTTTTGCTAATCAAATTTTTTTAAAGTCATGGCTGCAGTTTTACATAAGCAAATACAAATAATATACATATCGTTGCGTAAACAAACTAGTTATCTTTTCTTAGAAAAATAACAATTCTGTGACAAGGAAATTGATGATATAACGATACCGGAAACTAGACACTGATTTCACACAAAAGTTTGTATTCCTGGTTCGCTGTTGTCTACAGGAAGTATGTGACTAAAACTCTCACAATATGTTTGTTTGGATAAAAGCTGTTATCAAAATTTCAAAAATTGTCTTCAACTTGACACTTAAAGTCATTTTAACACGTTAAACAAATTAGTTATAATTATAGACAAAAATTCTTTTAAAGTTTTTCCATTATTATACTTACAAAATAAATAACCCTTGGTTTTATTTTCATACTTTTTCATGCTTAAACCTTAGTTTTAATTATGATTTTAATAAAGTTATGTCTTCATCACTACCAACCTTCTAAGATAATAACTAATGCTTACAATTCTTCAAAATATTTTTCCGTGTATACACAATTACCTGTAGATTAATCTTGTTTAGATGTAAATCATTAGCACAATTATTTTTAATATCAATAATCAGACTAGAGCATGGAAATTCTCAACAAAGGTTGAATTTTAAATATTTTTTAAAGTAGAGATTATATAAGGAATTACCTACTGTCTAAAAGGCTAGAATCAGCCGATTGGCTGAAGAGTTTTAACTCTGAATGATATACATCAGCATAATTGAAAGAAAATAATATGTGTACAAATAATTACCTGATAAGTTCCAGTACACATATAAATATAGTCTTGTCAGCTGTGAAAAATAATATAATATTCTGTGTGTTATGATCGGCTGTAGAAATCCTTGAGAAATGACTTCCCTACCAAAGTCCCAACAGTTATACTACAACAGTGAGATACTCAACTCCGACGAACACTCTTCCTCCTCCAAGTCCCCCGACATCGGACATACCCCAACACCTGTCAACTTTTACCTGAGATGGCTTATTAAAACAAATACCTGTCAATTTAAAGGTGATCACTAATTACGCCACCTCCTTCCTACCCTATCAAGGTAAGTTTTTACAGGTATGATCTACCCCCAGCACGAGGCCTTCAGGTAAATTTTACCCTCCAGGTAACAAATAAGGTACTCAACGTTCTACAGCTTGGGGTAGTTACAAATCGGCCTCTGGGATTTTATCACACTCACCAAAACATTTTCCTCAAAGCATGACAGATGTCAGTTGTAAAGACTGATAACTTTTCTTGTTTTCATATTTTTACACTAACACAGTCTTTGATTCAGAAACCAACATTTACAAGTTTAACACATTCTAAAATAATGCTATTGACATTTATGTATAATTACCAGAGTTTTACAAATAATTCATTTTATATGTGACTATTGAATCATGTCCTTCAAAAAGAAATTTACAGGGGAAAGTAGACAATAACATTTCATGATTTGAAGAAGTTTGTTGATAGTCTCAAACATCAGCACCCTAAATCAGCTACAAATACCAGGATTTGAAAGACTCTGATATCAACACCCCAACAAAACTACAAATACCAGGATTTGAGAGAATCAGACAGCGCTCACAGACACCTTCAAATGCCAGCAAACAATTAAGAGGATCAAAGTGAAATAAAATTTTGTGAGTATGTTCTTTTTTCCTAAACATTCAAAAATGACTTTTCTACACATTTTATTTTGTCACAAAATTATATTAAGATTAGTTACCAGTATTTGGTTCTGTCACATAAATTCCTAATTTTACCAGTATTTGTTTGTTTAGAAATGAGAAAAAGTTATATATAGGTTTAATTTGTTAGAAATAGTAATTTACAATTTATATTATGATTGAATTGTAAATAATTCATCCAACGTCTTTTTGAAATGTAGAATATGTGAGGTTCAAGTAGATAACTAACAACACTTTGATGTCTATAAAAATTTTAAATGTTGAAATTTCTATCCAAGACAGAAAAGATAATGTTAGAATTGTACACTGTAAACAGTCTTAGCACAGAAATTTATTATGGGCTAAATGCAGAGATTATCAAATCTTCCTGAAATAATGACAGATGTATACATAATATTATTTCAATCGCTATGGTATGAAAAACACTAGAGTTAAGAGGTCAAGTGGTGGGGACTTTTAGTCTACAGAGTAAAGATCATTGCCATATATGGTCATAATCAATTTTTATTTTCTCGTTACAGAGAGAACATATATGGAAAAATACCAGAAATCAACAAAGTGAATAAGAAGAATCAGGATATCCTCATCATATGATAGGAAATCATCTCCATTATTTAGACTCCTTCCACATTGAGTGTAGTCTTTATCTCGGAAGTAATACCACGACCCCTTCTTGACACAGATCTAGACTGAAGAAAGGTGAAAAGTGAAAAAAGGTGATAAGTGAAAAAAGCTAAATAAAAGCATTATTGTGAAAGAATCAATCTCAGATCACAACAGGTTTCACATATCAAATTTTGCTATCATAAAAAAGCTCTGAAAAAAATTGTTTACTTGGAGTAAGGGGGCATAACAGCTTATGAGAATGGTGCACAAAATATGACACTGCTATCATCCCATCTGACACAGAAAAGGTTTGTGTACTCATAACACATACAACGTTTTACAACAATTTAAAATACTTTGTAGTTGATATTAATTTCACATGGAATATATTTCACAGCTGTCCTGTTTGGGCTTCTTCATGGATATTTGATTTCTCATTTGTTTATCATTAGTGTCAATGTGCACAGGCATTATACAGTTCCTGAGATTAAATTTACTTAAAAATGTTTTCTGGGTCATTTTAATTCTGAATTATCTTCAGTGATTGCAAACATAGTGAAATAAAATCCTACTTGAAAAGTTACCTACAGTGAAAAATTGGCCATGAATTTGTATACAATACAATGTAATATGCACAGCTTATCAACTTCCATGAGAAACCAATCACAAACACCAGACTGAGTTACTCAAATACAAAAAAAAAGACAAAGTTGCTTGACAATTATAGGTTTATTTGGTTAAAATTTCCGTATGTCCAATTAACAACCAGGGTCATTTAAGGATGTACCAAGTTAAGGTGCTGGACAAAAGTAAGAGCTCCTATAGAAAAAAACTACTGACCTGTGGTCAGTACCTCGGAACTGGCCTATGTAGGCCTTAAACCCATGACACCATAAAAGGTTAATGATGAAGACAGTTGGACACCTCAACTACCCAGACACTGCAGTCCCAAATATAGGTATACCAGACTATGTGAGAGATATATGCTCTTGATAAAATTTGAAGGAAGGGCAATAACTCTGTATAGGAAGTAGTCACCGGACTAGAATTCCACATATACATAACTATATCATTCTATGAGGTAACTGCAAACAATTGTTTATTTTACTAATAAGAGAATAAGAAGTAGATAAACTGTCACACGAAGAAGCTGATAGACAAAACTTGAATTTTAAAACCATGTCCAGCAGTGTGTATGACTTCAGAAACTCACTAAAACATGTACAAACCTTAGGAGTCCAACTTTTAACAGTGATACAAGACTGAATTTAAGGGATACAAGTTATGACACTGCCTGTGTACAAAAGTTGTAATTGAACTTTTACTGGAAAATGAAAATTCTGTAGGATTTTTCACCTGTTCCTACCAAGTACTTGAAATTATTTTGAATTTATTATAAACATGTAATTTACCAACCTATTAATATTTGAATATACTATATAAATGTAATTTACTGGCCTATTAAGACATTGATGGGTTACAAAATTATAAACTATAGTGTTATGCTATTGTTTCCTTTAGTGCCCTATATTACCACACAGGAAATATACATGCCTTCCAAATTTCTTAGAAGTCATATTTTTCTCAGAAAAAGGACATTTTGAATTTTTCCCACACTTATACAACTACAGTAACAGAAGATGGTCAGTTGACTGTTTAATATAATTCAAACTTTATTTTAAAACAACAGCGAAACAAACTTTAAGTTTATATTAATCACTCCTGTTGATCCGCCTGAAAGTGTGCTAGAAGTGTTTCTTTGGAATGAAACCAGATGACCAAGGAAAACCCACATGGTCAGGCAGGTGACCCCGATACACTTACAAGTATGTTCCAGGAATCAAACCCTGGACACTTAGGTGAAAG